GACGGTAAAAATAAAATATTTTGTTATTATTAACGAAATTGTATTCAACTCAAAAATTTCCCTAAATGCTAATATCCCAAATTCTGCTAAGTTTACTTAAATATTAATAAATTTAGGATTGTATCATTTATCCCATGGGATAAAATGGAACTTAGTATTGCTTTGGAACTACTAGTAATCCAAGGTTCACTTCTAGTAAAGCCACACCTATCCCTAGAAGTACTTCTTCTATTGATAGTTGTGAAGTTTCTCTTCAGACAAAAGAGTGTTGGAGTACTATAGCTATAGTCCAACTCCCAGCAATGCTTCTTTCGAGAATGACCTCCACTCACCTAATCCTCCACTGTTTAGCATCTTTTGCTTGATAAAAATAAATCTCTCTTTCTACATTAAAGAATTAATACGCCGCCTATCTATAAGTAGTATCATTGCAATTGAATATAGTTTATTAGATCTTACATTACAATAATTGATAAATCTTTCGATGGTCATGTTGCCCAAAGATACGAAAGAAACTAAACTATTTTCGAACTATGTCTTTCAATCATAAACAATCTTTGGACCTGATCTCAACTACTTCAAAACCATTTGTACGGAATCCATTAAAAATTATAGCTCCAAAAAATAACCTCCCAGAACTTGTCCCAAGGAATCATTGTATCAGGCTTGAAGCTATTATAGTGATGGCCCACCCACTAGTTGTTAGCGCCATCACAAAGCTGAAATAACAGCAGCTGTACCTGTTACTTCTTAGGGCACTTCAAAACACAGCCTTTCATTGATATCATAATGCCAAGCATTAGCCTTGATAGAGCTAACAAAACAATTAAAACTTGCAAGATATGTCTTCTAGATCTAATCCATATATGATCTACCATCTCCTTCACTACTCTGCACAGCCACTATAACTGTTTAAAGACCCACAACCACTTGGTTTAATTGAATTGTTTGAGCACTTATTGGCTAGTAAAATAAGCTCCACCCATAAAATCCTAAACCTAAACATAAACCATTTTCTAGATCATCATATATTTTTCTTAAATTCTCTTCCAAGTGCCTCGTAACTAAACCTCTCAACCTCACCATTCTAGACTAGGTCAAAATTCTTAGATTATGGAACTTAGGTAAAAGCTAGCTTCACACATCATTTTAGCTCCATTAAAAAGCTATATGATGTGCTGAAAAAATGAATATAGTGTAAAATAAATGTAGTGTAGTAGTCATGTATTGTATTTGAAATAATTTAAAGTAGTTTGTGTTGACTTTATGAGCCCAATCATACTCTAAATGTGTTTTGATGATAACAAATAAATGTTGGATGATTCAAATGTGTTTGTCCTAACTATTTCAAAAATATTTCAAACCTAGGAAGCTCAGTCAAGCTTGTGGAGTCAAGATCATTAGAATTGGGTAGTTTGAAGAAGTGTTTGGGTGTGAGTAGAATATGCAAATAATAAGCAAATAAAAGCTCAACATCTTTAACATACTCATATCACTTAATTTGAATCACTCATTTAGCTTGAATCACTCATTGCATATCTTGATAACCTAATTTTAAAAATCACTCTTAAATAAGTATTTTCTATATAAATTGATTACAATGTTTAAAAATTTATATCTCCACACCACGATTGTATTTTTATCTCATTTTTTGGATGTAAGAAATTATCATTATTTATAAAATTATGGCTTGAATAATTTTTTAATGTTATGCTTAATTTGAAAAATAATATAAGGAAACATTTCTCTCTCATAAACAATCCAAAAAGTAAACATTTCACATATAATGAATATTTTTAACGAAATAAATTATTGGAAATAATTTATAAATAATTAATAATAATTATAAAATGAATTCCTACATAATTTTGATTAAGTTTCACTCAAACATATATTTATTAGTCACACTTAAGTTCTAGTTAAATTAATTTGATCAATTGTAAAATAATTACATGATTTCATATGTTTTCCTATAACCAATTTTTCTTACTTTGTTTTGGCCGAATTTTTGCATAATATGTAGGCCTAAATACTTTTGTCCAAGTGTATTAAATCTTTGAAAATTTATTTAGATTTTTCTATACTTTATTTTTACTCTTTTTTTAACCAAATCTTGTAAGCTCTATTTAAATTTTGCACCTATGTGGAGAACAAATTTCATCATGTTTGAGCTAACCAAATCATGCCCCATGTGCACAAATTCCCTTGTTTATTGATTAGAAACTTACCTAATTTCATTTTTCTTCATTCCCATGGCTTAATCGCTTGAAATCAAGCACATGGGAATACAAATAAGACTTGGTTCAACACCCAAATATGCTTGGCTGAAAATCTGCATTTAATTTTCTTTAATTTGTTTCCTATTGTGTTTCCCTCCTTTGAAGACATCTTTGGACGAATTTTACGCCTCATTAATGCTCTAAAACATATTCAAATCTTTACCAAATAATTTTGGCCCAAATTTACCATATCTTGAATCAATGCAATTTTTTTCCTTGTCTCCCTCCAACAATTCCTTGTCTTGGCCAATTTTTTTAAAGAAAGGGGAGTGTTTGGATCTTCTTTGTGCAGCACTCTTGTCCTCTATCTTTGGCTAAAAATGCTAAGTCTTCCTCAACCAAAACTTTTTTGGTTAGAGAAAGATCTCTTAGAGAAATTTCTTAAAATCATGGGTTCCTCAATCTCACATCAAAGTTTTATGTAAGCTCTATATTATTTTATTTAAAATACTTGATTACATGAGATTGCTTGATGAAATAATTTGATATATTTTGAAATTTAAGTTTTCAATTATTTCTTCATTCTTATTTTGGTGGTAACAGAATTTGCCATATTATATAGCAATTCATTTAAAAGTTTCTTTGTTACTTATAGTTGGGTTTTGATAGCTTGTCAAGTGAGTTTCAAATCCTAACTGAGAATATTGCACGATTGTTTAATCAATTTTAAAAGTGCTAAGTTGTTGAAATCTTTATATTGAAAAGATTACATTCTTTTTTAGATTTTTGTGTGTTTGTTTCATTGTGTATTTCATATAAGCACTCACATAAACTTCACATACCAACTTAAGCACTTCTTGCATTTGTCTTGTTAATTATTTTTAGCTTGGATTGAATGAAAATCCTTTTAAAATTATGAATGTGTGAGATTAGTTGATTGTACTATTTTATTTTTATGTATTATATTGTCTCATTGTATTTTGGGTAGAGCTTGCCCGGTGTAGGAAAGCTTGGTGCTTGGGGTTGTATTTGTCTAGTATAGGAGAGCATAATGTTTAAGGTTGTAGTTGGTCGATGTAGGAGAGTACGGGATATTGATTGTAATCTTCATCTGATTAGTGAAATTCCTAATTAGGGGTGACAAGGCATGGACGTGTGTCGATCTTGAGTTCGGTCGAACAACATAAAAATCTTTAATTTTGTGTTTTTTTCTGCAATATTTTATATGCTTGGCTATTTTCATTTGTTTTAATTAAAAATATTGAAGACTTTAAAATTTAAATTTTCTACATAATTAAAAACAAGGATTTTGAATAAAAAAATATTTTTTTACCCAATTCACACCACTATTAGGTGTCATAACATATATCAGCTTGGTCTACAACAACAACAACAACAACAAAGCCTTAATCTCACTACGTGGGGTCGGCTACATGAATCGCTTTTCTCCATTGCGTCATATTTAGTGCCATATTTTCATTTAATTCTAAAAAATTAAGATCATTTTTTTATACAATAAGCCCCAAGTCTTCCTAGGTCTACCTCTGCCTTTCTTAGCATAAGTCAAATCTAAAACATCTACTCTCCTAGTCGGATCATCAGATGGTCGACGCTTAATGTGACCAAACCATCTAAGACGACTTTCTCTAATTTTATCCGTCACAGGAGCTACACCACAACATTCAGCACCATAGAGCATTATTCAACTCACCACCGTCTTATAAAATTTTCCTTTCAGTCTAAGCGGTACTTTTCTATCACACAAAAGACCCGAAGCATTCCTCCACTTCAACCAACCAACTTGAATTCTACTATTAACATCCCTATCTATATCACCATCGCTTTGAACAACATACCCGAGATATCTAAATCGTTCACACCTTCTAATAATTTGATCACCCAAAGTTACACATCTATATCAGCTTGGCCTAGTGTAAAATAAATTCAAGACTTGACATTTTCTTGTTTGATTTGAAGAAATATGAAACAATGTAAAATATGTGACGGGCAAGCAACAATGAGGGTAGAGGCGGCCAGGGATGCTTGCAAGCGGAGGGGTAGCGGTCAACTACTGGCAGATGTTGGGCAGTTTTAAAGGGCCGATGACGGGCATTAAGTAGCATATGAAAATTTCTGTCAGAGGGGAGGCCAGCAGTAGGCTAATGTAGAGGGGAGGTTGGCAGCCATGACGAATCAAGGGTAGAGTGATTATAACTGATTTACGATTTATGTATTTACCCAATCCTACTTGCAGACAAACACCCCCTTAATTTATCAATTGTTCCGGACAACTATGTTATGCATTTATTTAGCTTGTTACCTCTACTTTTTTTAAGAAAACGTATTGCTTTCATCATGACAAATTGACAATCTATCAGTATTATTATTGCACTAATAAAAATCATATTTGAAAATTCTCATAATTATTGACTTATTTCTTTAAATGCCTTGTCTTGGTGATAAAAAAAATGTTTCGGTTAGCCTTAACCTTGTAGTTTATCCAGTGAGTTGAGGTTAAGTCTCTTAATCCTGTTCTTTGTTACCAGGGTTGCTGCCTTTGTTTCAAATCATTACTTCTGCAGTAAAATAGTGAAAATAGGAACAATAAACGGTCTTCCCCCCTAAAAAACTTAATGCAGCAGAGTGATCAAGGTTTAAACAATAAACAAACACTAAAGAAAATATTAAAGTCAAACCAGCACAACGCATATCAGCAAGAAAACCTAAGCAACTATCAAGAAAGAATCAAGCCCGAATAATGCACCAGAACAGAGTTCTCACCTTCGGGTCGAACTGCATGTTCCAGACCTCAGAGGGCGGCGCCTCTAGAGTTGCAATAGAACTGTTACTGTCAACATCGAACACCCGGATGAAGCTATCAAGGGAAGCGGAGGCCGCGATCACACCGCCGGGGTGGGCGGCGACTGAGATGACACCGAGGGCATGGCCGCCGGACGGAGGCCCCGCAGGTGATAGGTCATCAGGTCGCCATAGACGCACTGTCTCGTCGAGTGAGCCCGTGAGAAGGATTGCCGGTCGGTTATCCGTCGCCGGAACCCACGCGGATGCCCATATGGACTCATCGTGGGCGTTCTCCGCTGTCTTCAAACCGGCCAATTTCATCTTTTGATCGAAGAAGGGTTGGGGGTTTCAGTGTGTTGGGTCGTTTAGGGTTTGTTGGATGCCCATATGGACAAATTGTCATCACACTCAATCGACTTTGATTTATGGAATACATATATGGGCCAAAAGGGTGTTGCTGGATCAAGATAGCTAAGGGTGGGATGATAGAGTCATTTTTTTTTTATTTTGGGAAGGGCGTGATCTTGGACATGTCACTCATAAAAACTAAAAAAATATTACATCAGGACTCTGCACTTAGATTCACTTGTGGAGTCCAATAAAATCACTCAACGTGGAAATGACAGAAAAAAAATCGGTCTGGTAACACTTGAGAATATTTCCCTACTGTGTTATTTTGTATTATTAAGACAATAACTCATCAATAACACTTGAATAACACACAATAACACCTGGATAACACACAATAATACCTGAATAACACGGGAGTAATATTCTCTTGTGTTACCGGACATTTTTTTTTCATCGCCACTTTTTTCATCGCCGCGTGGTGTGATTTCATTGGACTCCACACGTAACTCTACGTGCAGTTTTCTCCATAGTTTAAACAATAAACAAACACTAAAGAAAATATTAAGTCAAACCAGCACAACGCATATAAGCAAGAAAACCTAAGCAACTATCAAAAAAGAATCAAGCCCCAATAATGCACCGGAACAGAGTTCTCACCTTAGGGTCGAACTGCATGTTCCAGACCTCAGAGGGCGG